AACGGTATCTGATGTAAAGCTTAACACTGTACATAATAATCATTTCCCATTACCAAAATGATCGAGCCTGTAAGATGGTTTGTATTCATGTAACCTTTGTTGCACGAAATATATATTATTATTGTTATTAACCGACTGCCAGTCACATTGAATTCAAGCCCCGAATCCGCTGTGGTGACAGCTGCTACTACAAATCATGAGGAACGGGTTAAGATAGAGAAAAAAGCTCCTTCCCGGACAAAAATTCACCAAAAACAAGATATTACGATGGTCAGTTATCGATCGGACATTTTCACTCTATTTAACGTTCTCATGAACAATGAGAGACTACTCGAGTGCACGAAAAGGTTCAACGAACAGCAGTTAGGCGCTCTCCGCTGAACACTTAGATTGCGTGAACTGTGGGCGAAATTGTGCCAATTCTATAGGTGCAGTGACTCACTTTCGGGGAAGTCAGTGCTGATGAAGACGAACTTGAACGCGGCGAAGGTAGCATATTCGTTTCTCCTGCTTCCTCACAAGCTGGCCGTCAAGCGGTCATCTGGCGTCAGAGCCAGAGTAGACCGGATGTCGTTGGTAAGAAATGTATCCTGCAAAGTACTCCTTCTGCAAAAACCCGTGGTAATGGCATTTTATGGATACCCGGAGCACCCAGAGACGTGGCAAAAATCTAAGGGCACCATCAGCATGAATGTTTGTTGTTTGTAAAACACACCGGGAACACCATATCGATGGCAAATAAAGGTCTGTTTAGGCACTCAAGATGCGACCCAGAATGGTAAATTCGACTTAACGCCAGAGCGGGAACTGTATAAGTTAAATGTTACTGAGCTGGTTCCCCTGGAACTGGCCTGTCAGCAGTGACTGCTTCCACCACTGCGAGCAAATCCTCCACTATCAGCCTTCACATAAGGGCAACACGCCATGAGAAGAGCTTCCAAGTGCTTTTAAAGCTGTATAAACGGGACTGGAGGGTGATGGCAGGGCTATGATCCTTTTATTCCAACCCTGCTTGGAAGCCATTGATGTTGACGGAAATCCATCGCCACACCTGAGTGACACAAAGCGGGTACGCACACAAGGTCGCCGTTAAGGAAAGGCAAATGGCACAGGATTGGGTGTAGAGTAGTGGTGCGTCTGGTTAACCAGTCCAAAACTGAAGGAGATGTCGATGCTGTATTCAAGCAGCATGCATACTGAGTTTGGTATACTTTCACGATGAGATACACTAAGAAGAGCTTTTCTGCCCTTTAGTCATGGAGTATAAAAGAAGGAATAACTACTTCAGGCACTTCCCACACGGCTGTTCACGTCTATGGAATTTAAAATTCAGGGCAGTTTCGCCTGCAGTGGAGAGTTTGGCTGGAACCTGCTAGATCCTGGTTGTATGAAAAGTGTCAAGAAGACACCGGTTGCAAGTCTGGCGGAAAACCATCACAACCACACTGTCTTCTCGCTGACTAACACTCAATAACAACGATTACTCGGGTTCCGACTCTGCTTGGAAGCAGCGATCCTGATTGGGCAGCGTTTGATCTGGTAGTGGCCGAACGGCTACGGTGGCGCTCAGCGTGATCTACAAATGAGTAGGCCATGCGTCATCAACCTCCCGGAGCTCTGCGACAACCGGGTCACATGCCGGCAAGTTGGGATTATTCATATGATATTTCTTCACATTCTCGTGGCTTTCAGTAAAGCTCTACACGTAACCCATAAGTAGAAGATCCCATGGTTAGGCATTATAGGTTGGGTACTATTCTGATTTGGAGGCTCTTTGGATGACAGCATATGCTGAACGTATGCAGCTTCGGTGTTCAGTTTGCGGTAAGGAACAATTTGGGCTAGATGCTGCTTCCCTTTTACCTGAGTAATCTACCACTGAACTTCAACTCTACGGTTCTACCATAGACTGATGACGTATGCCATTAGGAAGTGCTAGGCTTGTGAAAAACAAACTCACTGCAGGACAAACTCGGAACGCTCAAACACTAGGCGATGAATAATGGAGTAACATTTGACCTGTAGAAATGTCAAATAGTGTTATTCTATCCTCTTGGTCAGCAGAAAAATATATCTTCTCTTTGTGGGACTGTTCTCGGACTTCTTCGGGGAGATGTTTGGGTCCAATATTGACTAAAACCCTGGACACCAGGTAATACTAGCCGGGAGATGACTCTACAGAATAAGTGGCGTTGCGCCTCCTGTGTCGACAGTTAGATGCCTTTGCTTGAACGTTTTCGGAAGCTTTACAAAGCGTGCATGCGACCTCAAAAGTCCTCACACCACCACACCTGGAAGAGGCACAAAACTTCTGATGAAAGTTAAAAGGTGAGCGATGAAGTGGGTTCTGAGAATGTAGCTGTCATCACATTAAGATAGCCTGTGTAATCTAGAGCTCTGAGCTGAGAACTGTCGTAGGATATGTAGTAACTTGATAACGCCCAGCAAGACACTAAGTGTTGAAAGCCACTTGAATGGAGGAATATTGCCCGAAGGTCCCTATGTGGATCCTCATAGAAACCCAAACGGAAATGCAAACTGAAGGGTGAAAACCCATGCACAATCACACGTTTTCTCTCCCTGAGTTTGTGGCGACGGGAAAGCATTGCCTGCTAAGACAGCCACATATCCGTCTGTTGACAGCTATGCATTCACACAAAGATTGTACTCAACTATTTCGGGTCGAAGCCACCTATTGTCATAGCACTAGCCACACATCCTCTCTCGCCGTCATGCCAATTCTGTTTCATGGCTGGCTTTTATGGACAGGATTCAATCTTCTACCCTTCTATTAGTCACATCCCTCCAATTATTATCTCATCCCTTATTCCATTGCTATTTCTGTTTCCACTATCCCCACTACGAACTTTACTTCTCACACGTTCTAGCCCTACGCAACTTGGTCTTATCTATCTAGACTCACCGTATCACTGTTTTATTTCTTGCATTCTCTGAAAATACCGCGATTATTATCACCGTTCCTTTTTCCCCTGTTATTCTTCCTAATCTTTCCCGCCCCTGTTCTTGATAGACAATTCCTGGACCTCTTTATACTTCATAAGCATACAGTCCGAAAACAGTTCAACCACATGGCATTCGAAAAGTCCATCAGCCTCATAACCCAAGGATAAACTGTGCATTCCACCTCAAACCTAACCGACACGTTCGGATCACGATTTAATGTTTGAGGATGGGAGGCTACGAGCCCGTATTAATCCCTTTCCGGTAGATCTCTGTGCTCACCTAGTCCTCTTTCAAAAAGATCATTTGATGATGTGGACACTACCTCTTCCAGGAGTCAGTTCCAGAAGTTGATAACTCCGTGTGAGAACCAGTGCCCTGCGGGGACCACGTTAGGGTTCTGCTTTGCATTCCTCTGGGGAGGCTCGAGCTAGCAGGAAGAAAAGGAAGAGACAGATTAGGTCCAAAGTCCTCCTTAGAGTCCCGCATGATACGATTAAACCTCCCCTCTATCTAAGGTAGGACAAATAGAGGTGGTTCGGCTCCTTAAGTCGATCTTCGTCAGTCAGGTCAGCCATCAACGGGATCATGCGAGTAGGCTACCTTTCAGGAAAGGCTTCTATGCCAGTGTGCAGTCTCCTCTTAAGGCCTGACCGAGGATGCGTATAAGATGGTGAACATATCACGATTACTATCTCAAATGTTCTGCGTAATGTCAAGTGTTCTAAAACTCTGAGCCGCTGCCAATCGACAGTGTGTCGTGGTCTTCAAATCACTAATTACTGTGACTTCTGGGTCATTGCGGGTCATTACTGGGGGTAGAAGAGTTCCACCAACTCCGCAGTTGTTGCCATCTGTGCCTTGTATGCTCATATATTTACCTGCGTTGATGTGCACCAGCCATTACTCTCCATCGACCTTTAAGAGGAGAAGGGAGAATTGATCCCCGTCATTTGTCGCCTACCAACAAGGAACTCTGTGATAGATGCAAGCAGACTGACAGTCATTCCGAAGTTTGCTGGTTTACCGAGTAGCCTGAAATGAGTTATCTTGTTGAAAGCCTTACTAACGCCTATAAAAATGACTTTTCCAGTTGTCCTATCATCCTTTGACCTAACCCAGCGTCTGTAGAATATGAGTAGGTCCGCCAAGCAAGAGAACTTTCTACGAAAAGCAAGCTGTGAACGAGACGATAGGGTGTTGCTTTCAAAGTGAACTGTATAAGCTTTCTTGGTTACTTTTTCTAGGGCTTTTGCCTCGGCACTAGTCAAGGTTATCAGTCTGTAGTTTGGTGGGTGCTACCTAGAGCCTTCCACGTAGATAGGTTTGACTTTGGCGTCCTCCCAATGATGGAAGAATGTGGCTTCACTGAAGGACGGTCTGAATATAGTGGTCATTGAGCCAGCTGTATACAGTACAAGGTCCATGAGCAGCCTTGGATGAAGCTGCTCCAGTCCCACCGATGTTTTGATATTCAGAGTCCACAGAGTTTATTCTGTAGGTCGACAGTCCTTCTACTGTTGAACCAGTGTCCTGCGTAAGAACCCCAGCAAAATATGCAGCCACAGCTTCTACTCCTTTCTTATCGTCTTTCGTTGCAGAGTCAGCTTTGGTTTGTTCGATTGGTTCGTGTATATCTCCATACGTCTTATTCCTTTAGTTAATTTGAGAAATTAAACTTTTGGGATCTTACAGTTCCGCCTGGGCAAGACGTGTTTCAAAGCATATTAGAGACCGGCGGGTGACATAAGTACATTTATTTCAAGATTCTTCATAGTGATTCTCCATCTCGGCAATACCAAGATGGATGGCGGGACTCCAACACTTTTTGCGTCGCAGCAAAAATGTGCTTCCGGTTTACCAGAGAGCTAGAGCAGGTAAGTGACTGTATATACTCCATTACAATTTTAAAAGCAATGCGAAAGATCTAGAAGCCGGGGAGAAGAAACCACCTGGATTACGCAAACTAGTAGATCATATATTGCACATTGGTCAATAACCGTTTGAATCACTGTCTGTCCAAGGTCATTAAGCCCACTAAGATCAAGCGACTCATAAACTGAGGATGACCGTTGGTTCTGTTTACAACGAGGGACGGTTTCCTATCCCTCCAAAGTTTGACTTCAGGTGCGACATTCAGATCTCTTTCCTCATAATCTCATAGGCAGTTGCCCTTAAGGGGAAGGAAGGTGACTGTGATATCATTCATTGGAGACTACGACATATTTTTTGGTGAATCTCAGTTCATCAACATTTTCAGCTACACTGGGAAAGAATTTCCTGTTTCGGTAATATATTTATCTCTGGTTTACTCTCCTTCAGGAACTGTCTAGGGTACTTATTATAAAGTTCATCTCATCTTTGCACCACAGAATTATATTGAAGGGTATTATGACTGTGAAAATCAAGTCATATTTTTGGTTCTTAACCACCTGGAAATAGAAAGTCTATTCAGAGGCCATGAAAACGGTTCTCGGACATTTGAGAAATTACTGAAACGCTTCGACTATACGCTCCTGAAACTCCTATACTTCATGTTTGTTGTGTCACACTTTATTGTTGTAAGTATCTTTGAAAAACTAATGGAATTAGATTACCAGTATAGGAACCAACTTAAATCCTAATTACGTCCGGGTCTTCAAGTTGCTGGAGAAGATGAGGTTAGTGAAAACTTAGCAAGTAAGCTTTTAGGATACGACTTCGTCACTCGCTTGATCTTTATACTCGTGACCTTCCATTGCCTCGAGATTGGTTGAACAATGGACGTGCTTCTATCCCTAGGCTTCTGTTTGTTTTCAAACTTCGACCTGCGCAAACGAGGATGTTAAAGGTTTGTGTAAGCAGATTTCTTATATATTTCCTTTTGGCTGGCATTTTATTGTCCTCACACTGGTTTCCGTTCGACATTATGGATATCACAACATTTATATGGTCGGAAATACATGACAGATTGCAAAGAAGGCAGTTCGTTTCGAGATAAGGAAGGAATAACATCGTGTCGAACACGAGCTTGCGTTCGGGACAGGCTACTACTGGATCCTTTGGATGCTGAAATCACATTGTTTCAGATTTTTCACTTTCTCCGTATAGAGCTGTAGTTCACTTTTGTTATGTACTGGTATTGTCAATCGATAACGTTTTTACTGGGTCTAATTCCAAGGTTTGAGTGTTCTCGACCGTTTCGTATGCACTCACTGAGACTTAAGATTATGCCATATAGGGACCTAAACTAACCTGTAAAAGGTAGAGCACAGGTGGTGGTAATGCAGAAAGTAGAACTTTATTCCACCTTCACATATTACTGGTTAATCTATTCCAGTTTCACCACAAAAAATATCATATCCATAGGGATTTTTGTAAACTAAACCTCATGAAATTCATTTGCGCCTTCTCAGTTGTGTTGTTTGAATGATACTAAATAAAATACGGGTTAGTTAGAGTGTCTCTTGATGATTAGCAGTGTACTTAGGTTTTCACAAAGTATATGAATTGTTCTCTAGAACTTCGATCAAATTCAGGAGAAGAATTTCCTCAATATGAGGATTTTGCAGGTCTCAAGGTACAAACTAAGGCCATATATAACAAGCCTGTTTGGTAAGGGGACTGGTCAGTGTTATGAACTGATGTTCGTATATGATAACTTAATGGATAGTTATAAAACTGAACGGTATTAAATACGCGAGTGGTGGCTGGGTAACGCAGCAAGTCATTGATGATCCGCTTGCACAAAATAGTTACTTTATATGTAATTTCTAGACAGGTTAGAAAACGTTTTGTATCTCCCCGACGATACACTGGGTTGTATTCAAGGAACTTGTGTTTTGGAATCATTCTTGAGCTAAGATTTGCTATGTTTTGAGCAAGTCGTCGTGTTAATCGGTTGTTTTTATTGGCTGCATGTTTTCATTCTGAAGTTTAATCCCATCGTTTAATATGATTCCACTATATTTCTTGCATTTAGGATTGTAAGGTCGTCAGGCAGTTGGAACAGAATATGGTTACTCAAATATTCAATACTTTTTATGAAACAGGTCTTATCAGCAAGTAAGAATTTATCCTTATGCTTCCACTAGAAATTCTACGTGACGATGTCGTTTGATTTCCTTTTGGTCGTACAGTCAACCTGAAATTCAATTGCCTGGACACTGAGTAACTGGTTGAAATTTCACTCCACATAGTTACGTTTCGGAAGCCGAATACTGTTGCTAACTTTTGCAAAATAAGTGTGGATCATTGATTATCAGAAAAAAATACTTGGCTACAAAGTCGTTTCATCATTCGTATACATCGAGATACGAGTCTAAGTTGATCGGTATTGGAATCGTAGATAGTTGAATGACGCATTTATCAATAAAAAATTTCATGGCTAGCAGCTTCATTAGAGTTTGGATTGATGCCAGACGCATAGCATCTCATATTGTATGAACTTTCATCTCTCTATATAGTCTAAGTATTCAACTTAACTGCAGCATTCCACTAAACAGTTACTGGTAGAGTTTAAAGACAGCATTATACTGTCTGTATTTGCATGTACATAAAAACATCTTTTGTCCAGTAAAATACCTATTACCTGTGTAGCTGAAAATACTACCTGATGTTTTTTGTCTGAATGATAATTCTTAGCGTAAGATTCGTCGTTAGTCTTTCAATACAAAGACTAACATGAAGTGCTACACGGATGCGGTCGTTCTACAGAATTAATAGTTAAAAACCTAGTTATTTGTAATTTGAGGTATGTCCTGTAACACAGGTATACCAGTGTTTACTCAAAGCCAAAAAAAGAACCAACTCCTGATAAGCTACATCGTATATCATATTAAGGATAAAGCAGACTTTAGAATCCAAAATAAATTCATCTGTCTTACGAGTTCTGTTATTTCGAAAATGTAAGTGTGTCAGATGTGTGGGTGTTGGTGAAAATGGATAGTCAAGACACTTGCATGATTATTAGTTAGGCATACTACTGAGAACCGTATATGACCACTGAAAATCTCGTGGGGATTTAGCTACATTCACTTTTTTTTTTACTCCAAAGCTGACATATTATATTGTATTTCTGCCCACTGTTCTCATTGCACTTACATGGTTTTTTTTATGATTTAGGGGTTTTCCGCATATGTTTATTGTCATTTTATTTCAAAATGTGATTAGTTGGATTACTACACTTATTTACTGCACCCTACTTTGATCTGTCTGCTATACAGTTTCTAAACCTGATTTTATATCAAAATTCACTTTTAGTACAATTGTTATTTATAATTCTTTTTATCATAGTATTCCAACAAATCACTTGTTTATGCTTCCGGGACATAACTTTGTCCGTGTTCTATTTGAGAATGAATACATTGACGGGAAATCTAATCATGTTACATCGTGTAAAGATATGGCTCAGCAGTATTTTGAATTTATCCTGAAAAATGTCCATCATATTTCAAATATGTCTACCGATAAAATTCCTAGTGCTTTTGGATCTTCCTCCACTTTATTGTCCTCGCCGTTAAATCCGGCAACCGAACGTTGTAGTTCAAATCACTTATCGTCACCACCATCACCATGGAGTTTCCCTGCGCCTGATCAACCTACACAGCATAATCTTTACTCCTTTCTGCATTTACACGTGGAAAGCATGCTTGATCAAGCGGCTAATCGAAACTCTTCTTATGGCCAAACTACTCTGGCTTATGAATTGCCGACGTGTAAAGCATGGTTTATGGTAAGACCGGGAACATTTCATTTTTCATATATGTAAAATCACTACGCTACAGCTATGATTGATCATGCATAGAGTTATGCATTTCAGCCCCTCTTAATATTATCAACGTTCATACTTCAGGTGTGATGTATGATACAGTGCGTAAACTTGCGTGTGGTTATCGAATTGAATCATTGCATTATTAACGACATATATTTAAATTAAATTGCACTTACTTTCAATAAATTTCTTAGGCCTGCTACCGAATCTACACAAGTCTAATGTCAAATGAACCCTTAACCACAATACCACCCTCTGAAGTGAATACTGGTCAAAGTGATTTAGCTACTTGTGCAGGTGGAGGAGGTGCAGCAATAGCAGGAGTTAATTTATCGCAAACGTGGCATAATGTACTGACTTCTGTCGTATGTCCTACACTACCCACATCGACATTATCTGTAGCTCAGAAACAAACATCACAGAAATCTGTTATTGAAGAAGAGGAAGACCTATTAGCCTCAAGTTATAGCAATCCTTGGTCAGTTACAGATCCAATTAATCGTTTATCCGTTGTTCGCTACCGAGCTGCAATATCTGCAGCTGAAACCCATTACAAACAGGACTTGCCTGTTTATTATTCATGTACTTATCACATGATCAAGGTGAGTTGAACAAAACGACTACTTATTATCGAAAATTTTCAGTGGTTCACAAAAGAATTTATTTTGTAGCTCGTGTTATTTTGGCAATGCTATGTGGCAATGTTGTCTGACTTTCATTTTCAAATGAAAAACGTTTTGAGTTCGATGGTCCTTTTGGTTACACAAGGATCTAAGGTTAACTGATAGTGAATGTTTTCTCAAAAACAGCTGGTACTGACATGAAATTGGTTGGCAAATAAGTAAAGAAGACCCTTTCTTTCTAAACGATTGATGGGCTGAAAAAAAGAGTTTGACTGATACCGAGTTTTTATGTCCACTAGGCCACTATAAATGAGCGTAATGCGTGGTGTGGTCTATTTTTGTCAGAGCCTGTCTTACATAATAGACAATTCAAGTTTCCGCCTTCACCCACAATAAAATAAATAATTTGAGAAAATGAAAGTATACAAATGAAATTTAACAAGACAGTAGTCAATTTTAATAAGTTATTTAAAAGGTATACACAATTTAGTAGTTTGTTGCTCCATGTCGCTTGTTACTGTAATAGCTCCAGCATATTGCTACTTCGATTTATTGTCATCTAACGCCAACCGCGGTAGTGAATTTTGTGTAGTCGACAGCTGAAAAAGTTTAGATAATGGATGCCAGTTTTATCACTCCAAAAGTCTAAGATATGAAAAGGCTGCAGCTTTTTGATCATAGGTACCTTCATCGCACTTCTCGTGTGGGATGAAATAGTCACATGGGCGGTTTTGTGGTTAGGCTCACAGTACTAGGCAAGTCAATTGACAAGGTCGTGATCCTTCAGTGACTAAAATTGCTTGGATGTGTTGTTTATTCCGAGCCACCGCCTTTCTCATTATGCATTACTAACCGTATTAAATTGGACTGGAAGAAGGTTAAATGGTCAAATGCAATGGTCCATGAAGTCTCTAAATTTTGACTGAGCTACCAGACTGAGATTCTCAAGATGATAAGAGCCGTTAGTTGGAGACAATTATGTTTCTCAAAACCAATGACAATGGTGTAAATTTTTCTACTCTTTTTTTTATTTTTAAACTCTCGTTGACTCTCTAGTTATTCTTTCTCCTTTTACACGTTTACCCAGTTCAATGTTATACTTTTTCTATCCACTTCTCTGCATGCTTCTGTTAAGTGTAGTAACTTGGACTGGTACACTCGTTTTTCTTCTCAAGGTTTCGTTCTCTCCTATGCTTTCGGGGCTAGCACTGTTATGGTACGCTAAAACCCTAATATCTCCAATCAAGTCAAAACTGAATATGGATGCACATCGTGACCATTAGACTGCAAGTTGGTTGGAGTTGAAAAGTGTGTATCATTGAGGTCTATTATATTGGTTGGATGGTAAAAAGCAATTACTGCATAACTTAAAGTTCCTGGAGTCCATATCGTGTAAAACCTTGGTTAAGCTCATTTAAGGAGTCCTGAACTAAGTTGGTGCTGAAAACCGGTTTCCCGAGAACTAAATGTTAAACATTGCGATTCATATTATTTGAGTGAATCACTTTTTAGGTGATGGATTTTGCTTTCCTATCACTGAGGTCTGAACACTGCAATAATTGCTGAAGCTATGTTAAAATGTAGTTTCCTCTGAAAATCAGAACTAGGTTTTAGGACTATTGGTAAGTGTTGGATTTTATTTCGTTACATTACAATGTTAGCCCACTTGAAACAACTCCCTTATTTTCATTTCATTTTCTGAGGTACTGTTTTACTCTTTACTAGTCAATGTGATTGTAGTTAGTTACCAGTTGCAATTAATTTCTTAAAACAAGCCATAGACATTTAAATGTTCTGTTGAGGAGTTTTCGCAGCCAGGATTAACTTATCAGATATCAATTACATATTCAAGTTAGTGAGGGGACCTTGTTGGTGGAAATATTGCTGAAACTCAGCCATAAGGTTGACTGATGCTTTGGAAACTGCATTGTCCTCTTGTAACATCGCATACCGTATGCACTGGACATCTGAAACAATGGCTTCGAATGACTTTTATTCAACCTCTATCAGTATTTTCACAGCGTTTGTTTTCTAGTCTACAACATGTACCATGGGTTTTAATTTACAGATTGTATCCGCTTATAATGTAGCGATTAGTCTAGCGCGTGGTCATTCGGTATTTCGCCTGCTGGAAAAATTATCAAGTCGACTAACCCATCTGTATTTAGCTGGACGTGTGACATGTTCAGCTCTCTCTTTAACTGGTCAACCGTGCCAACATGAATTGCATCGTGTACCGGATGATGTAAACACTTTACAAGCTATTCTGTTAGCATTAGAAGAAAAGAGTAAAGAGAACTTAATAAATTTGGATGCTGAAGAAAACTTGGTTCTTCATCACCAGTATCGCTCGAGTTCTATTGCCAACCAGTTGCATGGAATTGATCTGAAAGTCAAAGATGATTATATTATTCCTTCTGGTAAGTTATTGTTTTGTATCTACCGGAAAGTACATTAGAGTCTATTTATTGTGGTCGCCAAAAGCATGAGTAATTGTGTGACTTACCGGTCGGTTAAAAAAATAACCCGTTTTTTCGTTATTGTATTTTATCAGACTAACACTCATGGCAAAAGTAGGAGACTAACTTTATAATAAACGTAAAAAATAACAAGGTAATGAAACGTCCAGTCTTTACAGGATGTCTAGTATGAGGCCCACTTCCTACGTTGTTATCTATTTCAACGCATTTTATTCAAAGCCTCTAACTAGCGACCAATCAGATTCTTACGACAGTGACCCTCACTGAAATAGATGGCGGCTAAGTAAATCACCTTCATAAAGGCTCTGTACTCGAACACCAGAGGGCATTATAGCCTATGGTGAGTTACCGAGAGAGTTGTACACGTCAATTGGTTTCTGCCAATGATGCTTACTCGCTTTAATTTTATTCATCCTCATCATACACGTACATTTACGGAGGTATCCCTCTCATCGTCTGGCTTTATAGGGATCGGTCTTTTCACAGGAAAAATCCTTATTAGATTTGCGGTAAGAAAATGACAGTCCTATCAGATGAATACGCTAACAAGATGCAGAGTTTTCTGGACGTTTTGAATGACAATTTGAGTGTTTGGGATGCATCTCTCATCAACCAATAGTAAATTGTTGCTACAGGACTGATCTGCGCTGCTGGCTGACATAACAATAGAAAGTGAAGTGGTTGACCTCGGTAACCATTCTACTTGATTACAAAGTCGTATCAGCCCTAGTGTTCCAGTGTCCAACGAAACCTCGATACAGATACAAAAGGCTCGTTTGGCTTTCGCCAGCTTATACCATTAATGGAGCTGTAGCGATATGTGATTACTTATTAAGGACTGAGTTCACTGTCTTGAAGTTTGCTCTGTTCTATTAAATGACTATGAAACATGGCTCTTGAAGGTAGAGGACACGAGAAGGCTTCAAGCGTTCAACAATGGTTGCCTTCGTAGTACAAACCGTGTGTGATTTTTTTTACCGCTTCGGTAACTCAGAAGTCAAGCACAGAGTTTTGAGGAGAAGAGGAAGGTCACTTGATGAGGTTGTAAACCTTCATTAACTTAGGTGACCGAAACATGTGTTGCGCATATCTAGTCACCTGTCTCGTCTCACAATAGTAGTTGGAGTAGGTTGATTATAGATGAAGGTTAGATGTGGTTAGATTAAAGCAGCATCACTGCATGCAATTTTGACTGTTGATCTGAGCTCTGCAAGGAAATGTAGACTTCCCGTTTGGTGTCTGTGTGACTACCTCATTGTGTGGTTGGAGACCCCTAGGTGGTATAACTCAGAATCGATCTCAGCAGCGCAGTTGTATACACTCACCATTGTCATCTTAACCGTCATACTGAGTTCAGTATTTTATTGTTTCTCTTTCTTCTTTTACTATTTTCTGATACTGCTGGCATATTCCTTTTTACTTTTCTTTCATCTCAGTGCTTTCTCGTATGATTTGCTGATATGCGATGTGGCAGATTGGACAGTTGCATAGTATTGCCAGGTCCCATTGTTGATTTTATCTGTTTGTTTGACTTGATGACTTCCACGTTACTTGCATTGCAACTACCACGGTACCTTGAAATAAATATAGACGAGGCATGTATTGCACATCAGAGTAGATTTGGATATGTGTGCAACTAATTATTTTCATGAAATTTCTTGAATAGTATCAATGTGAGATGATTATCGTGCTAGGTCATTATTCCGTCTTTTGATAGAGGTTCTATTCAGAATAATTTAACTTCAATGGCCAATTTGTGTGGTATAGATTCATATAACAGTTTTTTTAAAAGCTCAGTGGCACAATTTAAATAGATTATTTGGTGTTTAGAGCTTTCTGCAAATTTCTCAATTTTTAGTGCAGATAGCTTTTCATTGATTCGATTTCAATGCACATAATTGGCGGAGTTGGAACTGGTAGCGATGTAATGTAAACTACAGAGCTTTAGTTCATCTAGTAGAAGATCAAAATTGCTTAGACTGTCAACACAATATTTGAATGAGATCTTAATTATCCTGCTTGCAGTTAAATATCCCTTAGTTTAACAGTTGTTTGCCTTAGACAGATGGTAATTATGTAAAACCTGACACGAGTATATATATATATATATATATATATATATATATATATATATATATATATATATATATATATATATATATACTCATGTAAGTGTAAAACTTGAACAGTGATAGAATGTAGTTATACACTCGATTTGTTTTTTGAGATACCACGCGGTGATATAGTATTACTTACTTGACGTCGTAATATGGCATGTATCTGTCCATATAGCGACACTTCCTGCAACTGCGATGAGGAAGGTTATAAAGTAATTGGTTACAAGAGAGTGAAGTGAGGGTATGTAATAAACAGATGCAGATTAGTAAGCCTTATATTAGTCTTTTAACGATAAAAAATGGTTTTTTCACATCAATAAAGAATAATTAGAAGTTGTATGATCTAATGGTAGACCACTGTGCACTCTTAATCTTCAACGTCAAGATGTGGCCCATTGAGTTAGGAACTTTGCTTCTAAGCTGTGGGTCCAGGGTTAGAACCCGGCTGCATATATCTTGGCCTGGTCAACGGGTTAATACCATGGGCCCTCACACAAAGAGTTGGTTCATAGTCCAGTGCATAAATATATGCCAGGCTATGTTACGTTATTGTTATTTATTCAGTAATATGCAACACTTATATCTACTAAAAAGTCATATGTACATTTTTTCGACCGACATAATCATTTTCACAGGTTTGGTTAATTTAGCCATTTCGAATTGTGTGGGTTGAACTTCACTAATTTACCATCTATACGATATGCTTTTTTCACAGATCAAAATAAGTCAGCTTAAATGTTCATTTTAGATGTATCGTCCTACTTGTCTTCAACGATAGCTATAGCTCATAGTTCAATACAGGTATATGTACAGCGTTGCTGAATTGCTTGATACTTTTTTAGTCTCTTATCCGAGCTTGTTGTAAAGACTTTCTTACCTGTATATGATAATCAGGTCTCAATGGAAAATGGAAGCGTTATTGGATAGAATGTGCTATCAAAGACTCTGTTAGTTGTTCATCGAATAAAAAATCAAATGAGCAGCAAAAAAAGGACGATTCAAGTTTAAACAATCCAGATCAACACTTGGCTGTTATGACCCATCGTTCTGATGCAATAATGATAAGTTCATGTGGTTGTGGTCGTCAACAAGCTGAGAGATCGGATCCATTTGATTACAAAGAAGCGAATTGGCGATTTTATCACATCTTATCTAATGTTTGTTGTAATAAGGTAAGAAATGCCAGTGATATAGTCAGTAATTATATCTTTCAATAAGACTACTCTATTGTGATATTCTTTGTGTACGTTGTTCTATGTTTATGGTGATGACGTTTTTGGAAAGAATACTCTCTTTGTTATGGTTTCCATCTTGTACATTTTTTCAACCTATGGTGCATCGCGTAGCTACATTTTATTGGCTTTTTAATTATAGTGGCTTGTATTTGTTACTCATCGTTTAAATGTTAAGGACCTCTCGTTTTCTGATTGAATGTTTTACTGTATCAGCGTAACTCAGTACTAAAATGTCGCTTCATCTGGGTATCAGTAATTTAAGTTTCTAGCAACATTTAATTACTTTTTTTCTGTTAGGATTTATTGCTTGAATGAAATTTTAATTACTATTTAGCCATCAAAACTTCATACATATATATAATCCAGTTGATTTGATATCACAATGAAGCGGATTCTGTAAGGCATATCTGAAACCATTTCACTATTAAGATGCATGTTTTCAATCTTTCTTCCTTCTCCATAGGAAAAGCTAATTATCATTGAATTTTAACATTTTAGGTTAGTTTGCACATATACCTTTAAATAGTGTGTATGAGATTTTTGTGTATGCAGAATGAACATTCTATTTCCTTAAGAGATACTTCTTAAATATGCAATTCTTTTTAAGAAGTCGAAAATCTGTCCCCAATGGTTGCTTCTATTTGAAACAGTCAATGAATGGAGTGTATGATTTGAAAAATGTTGAGAATGATTAATTACTTTCATAAGAACTAATGTGAAGTAAATGAAATTACGAAATCTTTACACAGATTCACTACGAGTTGTATAACGTGAGCTTCTAAACTTATTTAAGAGATGTACTACTTTGATTGCATGCAATTCAACATGAAGTTTAGATAGTTACGGAACATACTTGTTATGTTTAATAATTGACTTGAACTGCTTTTTGTGCAAAGAGAACTAGGTGATACTGTGATGTCAGTAGTACGGCAGCTTGATAGTTGTTGCAACCATCTGCTGAATTGTCACGGAGAATATTGTATATGATTTTCTTTCGAAAATCATTCTTGTAGCTAAACGAGATTGTCTTAATCAAATTATGATCCATTCGATAACTGCTGACGATATATATTTTTCTACTATCCAGCGTAGTACATTGCAGAAGGATTTTTACGTGCACTAACCTATAATATCAGCGAAAGACATATATAAAATGAGATATTCTGACGTAAATTTCCAGTCATCTGAGACATTACTTATTGTTTGCCATCAATTATTCCTGTCTAGTCAGGTTTCGTGTAGTTGTTTCATACTTTTTCCAATATGAAGTTTGTTTACATAGACTTAAATAGGTATGCTGTATACATAGACCCTCGTCATCAGAATGTAACTCTAATTGTCACTTCAGTAACGTATTCATTTAGTGTGTGATTCACTCGTGCTTTACATCATAAGTGACTGTTTACTGTTAGTTATCATTATTTATCTACTGTCTGATTATCTGACGCCAAGTGATACAATTGAGCTCCGTATAATGTGAATTACAGTTAATTTGTTGTTGAAACTGCTTATATACTACTAGATATTTTTAGTAGAATGATGGGACTAACGAATAAAAGTCGACCTAACTAGATAATAACTAACAAGAAAATGTCCAAGAAAGACCCATTGCACTTCATGTTGATGGGTTTAGTGTTCATAACTAGTTGATAGTGAAGCATAATACAGATAAGTAGATGAGAGTTGACTGTGATCTATTTCAGAGTCGAAGTTTTAGGTATCAGATAAGCGAATGAATGAATCACAAAAAAGTTATTAAAAAACCCGCTTATCAGGTTTTTGCCTATTGTTCAACCAACTGACCACAATGATTAAAATACGTGTAGGCTAATTCACTTTGTATAAATTTAAGGTAACCGTTATAACTTAATCTGTTGCATTTTTTTATGTACACACACATTCTAGTTAACAAGTATTCTATTATCACCACAAATTTTATCCGATCCAAATCATACATTCTGTTTACCGAACGAAGTGGATAAAGAGCATCATTTACCATTTGCATTATCAGCCGATAACAACAATGCTAATACAAAGAACGAGAAAAAAATATCTATTTTAACAAAACGTAAAGAAGTATCATCACCACCTGTTAGTCGAGAACACAAGTTAAGTGAAATTAACTCAAGTGGTGATAACAATGATGATAATGCAGGTCTTTCACAGCCTGAAGACAATGATTTGTTATTGTTGTCAGCTGATTCCGATTCAAGTGAAGTGGTGGACAGGAAGTCAAGTGATTCAGAAGACTCTAGAAATAATGCATACATGGATGCTGTTACTAATTTATGTGAGCTACTGTTATTGAAAATTTTACTTAAGTATTCTTTTTGAACATAATGTTGAATTACAGGAGTACTATCGAAAAATCGAAATGCACACATTCATGGAAAGCTCAGTGAACCACACTTGTTTTATGACGGGTGATGATACTATCTAGTACATGAGTACTATACCTACTTCGTTTCGCACAACGATGTAGCATCATTTACGTTTTCCACACGATTGTCAAGTTTAGTGAAGTTTTTGTCTAGCAAGTTGGGGACTAAATTTTGAAGTCATTAAGTTAGTGGTTCAAATCTCATTTCAACAATTTTGCTGCAGACAACTGAGCATCGTTTTCAACTTGAATACAACAGTTTTATCATGATAAAGACAGTTACATATGGTTAGAGCTGTATTTTATTCTAATATATTCACTCATACGTCATTAATTAATCGTGACCGTAGCGAGAATTATGATAAGTTAAATGATTCGACTCCCCGAGCTGTATCAATCTGTCTCATCGCTGGGAAGTTCAACCCCTAATGTCCAGATCATTTGGACCTGGTCGGCATCAGCGGCTGAGATGAGTGCACTAAAAGCAATAATGCCAATCAGCAGTATGTAGCGTAGTTTTCATGCTTGTAATCTTGTTACCATTCACGGGATTAAGCAGCTCATATATTGTACTCTGAGTATTTTAGTATCCAAGCGAAACTACGATCGAATTTCATAATGCAGTCTCACCTAGTTCCGTTATTCTTACTTCGGACCATGCATATTTTGAAAAGTCCTGGTCTGATCACGTCAATCACTAGTACATTTAGATAACAAAGGGGCGAAAACATGGTAGAGGTAATAAACAAACAGAGAATACGATTATATGAATGAGACAAGCCTTTGTCTGAGGTTGTAATTATTGGGAAGATTAGTAACGACAAGCATGATAAGAAAATGCAAAGACTTATCCACCAGTCCTACTTAGCTCATTTTTGTTATTATTCAATTCTGCGTCCTCAACTAGCAATATTATAACTATAAGCATCATGATTTGTAGTCTTAATTAATACAGCTTTAGAATAAATTCGTCGCAGAGTCCTTCTTGCTGAATTTCTTGTTTCTGATGTCACAATGTAAATTCTGAATTCACCACTAGTGCACCCGTGTAGCCTAATCACAAAATGATTTGGCCATATGAGATAAATTAGCCTAAGAGCACCGCTCGTAAACTCGACCCCAGAAAAATAAACTGGTCATGTTCTTGTTAAGGTCATCTTTAATCTCTGTAAGGAGCAGTTTACGTAAATTACAGCTTCACAAATGGGAAAACTGGTTCTTTACATTTAAGCGTCTTGATTACTTTATTGACTATGTAGTGCTTTCTACGTGAATTCAGCTCTGTTTCCTGTTGTATTTCAATTGGTAATACATGTCATTTTCTACATTATTCATGCATTATACTAAGCGTTTGCAATGAAGTTACGTTATTACAGATATTATAGTAGACTCCTTTTGTGTTGCTCACTAGTGTGTCAGTAATATGTTTTTAACCTTACATAATGTTAAGGTTGTGACTGGTGACATTAGCAGAATTGCTGTAAGATTTGAATGGAATCATAGAGCGCGTGAAACAAAACAATAACACTGCTTAATTCAATATGATTCGAATTAAGGAAACTATGACACTTCTCAGTATAAAACAATCAACTAAGACATTGAAAGTTCATGCTGCTGACGGTCCCTCGTCATTTTGTCACGAGCAAATTAGGAAAAGCCAACAAAGAAACGAACGCTTTTTTGAACAATCCAACTGTGATAATCATGGTCAAAAGAGTGCGTAATTTTTCCCTGAGTGACGTTATGAACAGACCATAGAGGATCCGGGTTTGTGAAGCCAACTTGAAATTCTGTGTTGGATTCAAAAATTTCTAGACGAAAGCTTACACATGGTTGTTCTAGGTAGCATTTTCAGAAAAAAAATACTTCTCAACGAATTCGATAAACGAACCAATAAAATAAGATTAATTGAAAACCGCAGACTAGAAATTTAATAATGGTTATTGGTGGTCTCAAATGACGATTCCTTTTCCCCCTTTGTTTCAGCTGGTAGTGACGTGTCACCGAATGATACTTATGCCTCGGACCCACTTTCACAAAAAGTCAAGGTACAGAGAACGATTAAAAAGGCTGATGTTCAAGATCAAAAGGCAGAATCTTTTCATCACTCAGCTGTAGAATCGAAAGATAATTTAACTTTTGATACATATGATCCAGTCAAAATAGAAACTGTTGATTCTGTTGACCCAGTATCATTACATCCGGTTGTGTTTCGTGATGGTGTACCAAATACCAACTGGTTTGTCGGTGATTTACCACGTTATCCATCATGGTCAATCCATGCACTTGGGAAATATTTTAGTTATTCTCATTCTTCGGGTAATTTAACATTTCAAAAGCTCATGTCTTCATTCTATCCCTTTTTTCACTTGGACCATTAAGAAGTAATTCGTGAAAGGTATATCTTACTTAAGTGTTGGATATAGCTGCTTCTAAGATACATTTCGTTTGAGCTGATATTGAAAAAGGTTAAATATCCTTTTTTATTTCGCTAAAATTGAAGTTTAATAGGACCGACAATTAAATAGGCTTACTGAATCATATAGTCTATCTATTATCAGATTGTGAGCTCAAATGTTACTTGCCGTTGGAACGGAACTTGAGTACTTTAGTTGTCCTTAACAATCATAGCAGTCAGAACTAGTGTATTTCAAACTTTTTGTTTTATATTTTTGGGCGTTTCCATCTTTTCACTTGCAGCACAAAATGAAAATACAAGTGATCCGGAATTGGTTAGCGATGCAGTTTGTCGTTTGAACCCTAAACTTCTGACTATTTCGAAAAAATTTCGTTCTTATCATAGCATATCGTATTGGTTTATTTTCTACCTGTGAGCAAAAAATAAATATGCTTCAAACATTAAATTCTCCATAATTTCCTTATTTTCCCTTGGGTATTAAAAATCAGTTATGCGTATTACTCTTTTGTAAACCGATGAAAACTTACATCGGCGAATATTTTTAAACCACTTTTTCTTACCTACTATGAATCAATTTAATATGGCTGTAAACGAGCATTTGTTGGAGCGTTTGCAAGCTTAACCATAGGATATCTAAGTATATGATATTGGTTGGACTGAGGATAGGTTATCGAAGCTTGAGACCTATCAGGTCAAACTAAGTCATACTGTATGTGTAAGGTTTCTTCGCTCGGAGATTATCAGCAAAATCGCTTTTCGTTATCACTATGCTGTTTTCCAGTTCACTAACTCGAAATTTTGTTGAAGTTGATTATTCGCTTACTTCACCTTCAGTTACCTACTTATAAAACAATAAGAATCACCTATTGAGTAATTTTAGTATCTACTTGCTGAGAGTGGTTTCATAGGGAATTAGTCTATAAATTGCAGAAATCCGTGTCGAAATTATGATTTTTCTTAAAAAAGATCGCATATATATGTGTCTTGTTTATTTTATTTATGTAGTCACTAACAAATAAAAGTTTCCAATATTGCACCCTATAGGATTACCTTGCCGAGGATTTATACGCAACAGCAATTTCTTACTACCTTGGGATGTATCTCTGATGAGCAATACTAGGAACCGACGTTTCAATAAATCTGCAAAAGGAAGGCATCGTGGAGGCAAACCAGGTAACTGTATTCCTCTAATTGCTGTTCAAATGCATCAGTCCATTATCTTAATACCCAAAAATACTCAAGTTGTGTATGGAATTAGCCTTTTTGTAGAGAAATAAATTCGTAGACCAACTTAGCATAGCATGAAAATGTATCCATTTCATTCGCTACGCTTAAAAACATCACATGAAGATAAACTATACAGAAATGTTAAGATCAATGAACAGGGATTATAGCTGGCAAGTAAGTACCTCGCCTGGTTAACTAGTTACTAGCCGGTCCTAACTAAGCCCAGGTGAAGAGGGAAAAACCAATCCAACTGCTAAAGAAACTTCAAAGCACAAAGAAAATATTTTTTTAAAAACAAACTTATTCCTCGCTGGAATCGGGAAGACGAAATGAAGCCGGTTGATGAAAGCCTCCGAGAAGCTAATTGGCTGATGTGCCTTCTCTTCTGTCGATGAGAGCGAGAGTAAACATAGGGACATGAAATATCCGTACTATGTTTGAACCTAGCAAGGCTGCCCAGATTGCAAAAGAAATGAGAAGGTATGGTATAGGAGTGCTTGGAATCTGCGAAAGCAGATGGAATGGAATGGAAGTGGACTCTCCAAACTGTCAACTGGAGAGTAAATAATCTACTCCTATATTGTTACCCAGACGACCATCACGAGCACACTGAGTATTGGAGTGGCTATCATGATATCCCCAACAGTATCGTGGGCTCTCATACAGTGGGAACCAATCTCCTCAATGATTAGGATCATGACGGCAAGATTCAGCTCAAAAGGAAGGAAGGTCACACTCATACAATGCTACGCCGCGCACAACAAATAATGCAGATCAAGAGAAGAAAGTTGAATTCTACAGACAACTGCAATCAGTAATAGACAAGACCCATCCCAGTTGGCGACATCAAAATTCTGATGGACGACATGAATGCCAAACTAGGTGCGGACAACACAGGAAGAGAAGTCATCATGAACCGAGAAGCACTGGGTGAAATGAACGAGAATGGAGAACTGTTTGCAGACTTCTGCGCAGTGTGTACAAACACAAGGATATTCACAAAGCGACATGGACTTCACCAGACACCGGAACACACTAAAAATCAGATCGAATTCCTCCCAGGTGTGGACGCAGCCTACTGGACACAAGATCAGAAAGGGGAGTGGATGTAGATTCACACCATTCACTATCTAGTGCAAGGAACCTACCTTCAAAATCAAGATGAAGCTCGTGATAGACTACAGTTTAACTTCAACACCCAAAACAGAAACTGAAGGATGAAACCACAAAGGACATCTTCATATCAGCCAGTCATCAGGACAAAATGGGAGTCATTAGGCAACATCCGTGAAGAAACCTGTGTGGAAGAACACTGGAACTCTTTGAAAGCTATGTGGAAAGAAACCTGCATAACCGTGTTAGGGAGGAAGAAAAAAGAAGACAAGCAATGAATCTCCATGGACACATGGAAGCTGATAGAGCAGGAAGAGGAAGATGTCTAAGCAGAAGAACCAGTGCAGTGCAGGGATGAACAACGAAAAGAGGGACTGAACACAACCTATAAAACACTACACTGGACAAAGAAGTGAAGAAGAGTGCGTGGACAGACAGAAGACACTTCTACGACACACTTGCAACTGAAGCGGAACAGGCTGCATGTAGGAGAGACCTGACAACATTATATCAAATAACCAGGTTACTATGTGGGAGGGAAGAGATCAACGCAGATGAAACCAATGTGAGATATTGAAGGAAACCTAGTTACCGCCAAGGAGGAGAAACGAATGAAACAATAGACTGACAACTTTGAAACACTCTTAGCTCGATCACCACCTGCAACTCATCCAGAAATCCCACCAGCAGTCCAGCCACATAACTATAAGTGAAGGCAAGCCCCCGACGAAAGCACAAGTAAAGTCCTTAACGCCATGAAGTTACTGAAATCCCGGAAAACAGCAGGATCAGGTGAAATCCCTCCAGAAGCAATGAAAACAGATGCAGTGACAACAGCGGACACGCTCACACAACTATTGCAGAAGGTTTGGAAGGAAGGACAGGTGCCTGGAGATTGGAAGAAGGGTCATGTTGCCAAACTCCCAAAGAAGGGCGATCTAAGTCTTTGCAAGAAGAAGAACTGCAGGGAATCATGCTGCTGTCCACCCCGAACAAAATATTAAGCTAAGCCGCCTTATCCTAGAAAGACCAAAGAATGCTCTGGATTCAAAATTAGGACCGGAACAGGCTGAAATTCAGGAAGAACAAATCATATGCGGATCAAATTGCAACACGACGCTACACATCGTCATAGAATGCCAGTCAACTCTTCACCGCAACTTCATCGATTTTAAACGGCCTACGACAGCGTCGACTGAGAAGTAATTTGGCGACTGCTTCAATACTACGGGGTACCATAAACCTTTACCAATCTCACTCAACAACAATATAAAGACACCACATGCCGAATGATTCACAATGGAAAGCTCAGTGGTGCGTTTGAAGTGAAGACGGGAGTAAGACAAGGCTGCCTACTATCACAGATGATCTTCCCGATTGTGGTCGACTTGATTATGCAAGAAACTGTGAGGAGCTGTGAGAAGACGGGCATACGCTGTTTGACCGATGAAAAGACCTTAGAAGATTTGGATTTCTCCACTGATGATGATTTGTGTCTAATATCGCAGAAGCTCGAAGATCTACAGGCAAAAACCAACAAGTTGACAGAAGAGGCGACGAAGACGAGACTTTCTTGAAGTGAACGTAGAGAAGACAGAGGTGATGAAGATACCTAGAAAACAACAGCATCAACAACGAGCATCGATCACCATGAACGGGAGAAGCCTAAAGGAAGTTGTTTCTTTCACCTACCAACCTAGGCAGTGTCGTTTCAACTACAGTCGGCGTCACAGATGAGGACATCAAAGGGAGGATCGGAAAAGCAAGACAGGCTTTCATTAATCTGAAACCAGTGTGGAGATCTACTGCACTCAGCATAAGGAGTGAACAAGATCCGGATTTTCAACACCAATGTCGGTCAAGTCAGTGCTTCTATGTGATGGTCGTGAGACTTGGCGCGTTACGAAAAGCATTTCCAACAAACTACAGACATTCATCAACAGCTGCTGCCTACACTCGATACTGAAGATCAGATAGTCAGAAAGAATAAACAACAGGTAACTCTGAGAACGGACCAAGCAAGAACCTGTCACCCAACAAATATGCAGAAGAGAGTGGAGATGGATTGGGGATAGTGAGAAGGTCGACTGGGGACATCACGCGCCAGGCCGTCGAGTGGAATCCGAAGTGGGGAACGACAAGTTCGGTGTGCCAGCTGCAGATGACATGGAGGAGATCATGTGCGGAAGAAATGAAAGCTTGTGGGCAGTCGTGGAGCCAGGTTAAAAGACGGTAGGAAGAGAGTGAAATGGAGATGTGCTACTGAATTCCTACGTTCCACTAGGAACCCAAGGGACAAATAATATAATACTGACGAGTCGTAAATGAAATGAAACGCTCATTTTGGCTCACACTAATAACCTTTAAAACCAGTTTCATTTCACGTTTATAAATATTTTAAGTACTTAGAATTCATTCAAGTACTGAATCCTTTATTGTGAAATTACTTGAACTTTATTAAAGACAGACCTTTTGTCATTGTTTGATAGTAAATAGGACGATGGGATACAAGTTGCACACTATACATCTAACTGTATAATTTTCTATAATCACTGCTGTGATGTTTATTTCTAGACATTAGTTTTTCAGCTGCGAAGCAGCTGAACTGAGACGTTCAAAATAAAAACACTGAATGTCTGCATTTTGATTGCAATATCGGCTGATTGACACGTTACTATTTCTACCCTTCGATGTGTTTATCTAGACTCAGACACAGTGAAATTATTTATCGGCTTTGAAATGGAATGTTCTATGGGTCATCGATTCTTCCTAACTGGTACCGATCGAGTTATGGATGGACCTATGCAAAGCAGTCAAGTTCGACGAGCTGTTCATTCACTGTTAACACGTGACCTACCCGTTTTCATGCCCTGCCAGTGTCATCATCCAGTTTCACATATACTTGGGAATACACGGCAATCCACTGGTGAGTGGGATATGGGAAGCAGTAATACAACAGTAAACTTGTCTGGTTATGCAAACAACCAGATGGTTATGGCACAATTATCACGAATCTACCTAGCTATACCAGCTGCTCCAATTCGCGTGCGTGTTCAACCATGTGTGCGACCTGGTCCACCTAAAGTTACGCCAATATTTCATCTTGGTCACACATTGGATCAGTGCTGTGACAAAACATTGGATTGTTCTATGGATTCTGAGTATGAGCAGAATTATGGGGTGGATGATGACTGCTATTTCTATGAAGATAGTGTTAAATCTTGCGTAAAACTACTTCCTGATATGCATCACGGTGAGAAATACCAGACACCAGGTTATGTCACCTTAGATAATGGATATTTGTGGGTTATCCGATTACCGTATCCTTGCCGTTAGTCATTTTTCAGTGGTTTTTTATTTATTTCATACACTCTTTGTTTTCTTCGCACATTATTTTGTGCAATTAACGTTACTCTTTCCTATCCACTTCCTCCATGCGTACTACTGTGAAGTATGGCAACTTGAACTTATGCACTTTTGTGCCAGGGCCAATGCTGATCTCCATCTGAGATTAGTTGGGTACATAAATCACTTCAAGTTGCCAAAGTTTTCAGCAGCATGCATAGACGAAGTGGATGGGAAAGAATAACGTTAATTGCACAAATGTATTTGCGAGGAGAAAGAATAACTATACGAAAGTTGGTGGAACTCTTCAAGACTTCAGGGAGAACAAAAAGTGTGCGCATCTGTACGACCGGTTTTCATTTGCGTCACCAGGAAACTCCGACAACTTAGTCCTGTCGTTTCGAGGGCTTCAACCAGACCAGCTAATTTCTAAAGGAATGTGTAAAAAATACAAATAATCAGTCCGTTTCATCTCATATACATATACACAGTGGGTGTGAAATAGCATAGTACAATGAATATGTGCAATTTAATGCAGTTGTTTTGATGTGTTTTAAATCATCAGTAGTCTTCAGTCAACACCAACTCAAATCGTGGTACGTTTTTAGCCATTATGGAGGCAAATGCTATCTGTAATCATTTATTTTGTTGTGAATACTTTTTATACAACCTACTTAGTCTCAGCAAACTAGGTCGTTGATGCTTGCAACATGTCGAAGGTAACAAACATGAACTCTGACATACTTATTTGATAAAGAAAACCAAATTTGCTTATAGGTTTTTTCTGCAGTCATAATAATAATGACACTCCTATCATTTGGAACATCAAAATACGAAACTGCAAAATTCAGCAGGTGCGTCTAGAGATAGCTTTAGTTTCATGCTTCTATAGTTATGAGATCAATTTCTTCAAATCTAATGTAATAGTAAAACTTAGGCTTTGCAGTGTTGTGTGATCTTATGTTAATTTATTTTGTTGTAATTTAATAAGAATGGATGTAAACAATAAGTTGTGTTTAGAACTTCGTCCACTTGTTTCTCTATGTGGAATATTCAACAAACATATTAACGTGAAGCCTTTCAAGGTTATGATTCAGTGGACGTGGTCTGATTTTCAGTAATCACTACCGTAGTTACCGTTTTGTAATATTGTGTTCGGTAAAAATAATACCAAACTCTTGACTTCAAAACTTTATTCGAAATGAAGCCTTAGAGTGGTGATTCGATGATGATGATGATGATGATGTGGTGATTCGAGGTATGTAGGTAAGGGGATGTAGATAGCCTGGTTAGGGTCCTCAAAGTAATAGGAGTCAGTGGTTGAGTACTCTTAGCGACATGACTGTATGTTAGTAACAATGATATCTCTGGAAAACTAGTTCTCCCTAACCTTCATTTAATTCTCCACTCTCCTACCAAACACTAGTCTTCTTTGATATCACTCTTTTTGTCCACCTCTTCGTTGATTGTTGATATGAAATGCGACAACTCGAACTGATGTACTTGTGTTAGGTTTTTATGTTGATTCCGATGTTTATTACCGAAATGGCAGTGTTTCCTAACAGCAGCTTTCCAAAAATTGGAGTTCGGTAAAGAGGGGTCGTTAGTTTTGCTTAGTTGAAAGAATCATCACTTTGGATTTTCAGTAAGACGCCTTGGAAGTTACAGTGAAAGTAACCATTAGAGTTGTTGGAAAGCCTACAGCTAACAATTTTATCGCATAGTACACTTCTGTTTAAGCTAATTATCCCTTCTTGGGTGGTTTTTAAACATTGTGAGCTTTGCATACTTAATTTGTCTTCCTTAACAATTTTGCAATATTTTTCTTGGTGTGTTCATTAAAAACCAGTTTTGTCTACCACGATGGAAATAAACTCTACCCCAAACCAGTTTATCCTGATGATCTTAACGAATGGAAACTACTTAGAGGTTGTATACAACTAGTAGTATGAACATAATATGCCTTAAAAATCACTTCTTGCAATGTGTAAATATACTTTTTAACGACAAAAATAAACTCTCTACTCTAATTACAGTCTTGTTATTATTAGAAACCAGAGGAAAGTAGACTAGAGCAAAGAAAAAAGTTGTAACCGCTAGGATGAACACTGCAACCGATCCTGAGCCATATCACCTGGTGTCTTCATAAGTTGACTTCGGTTGCCGAATAAAGTTTTACGTACAGCAAAAGATGATTGCACACCAGCCATTATATTTATGACCTCATGTTATTTAGACGCTGAACGTTTGGCTTTCCGGTGCATGATTATTACACAAGTTATTATTTTCTACGGCAGGTTTTCTAAAATATTGTATCGGGCGATCTCTGTATGTGCTGTGTAGTATAGGAGGTGATTCAGATTAGCAGTAGTAGGCTGTGACACTTCGTGGTGTCATACTCTTTTCCTCACTGTTGCAAATATGAGTAAGACGAGTTGTTCTGCGAGCACAAACAATGAACCTCATTCTCCATGAAACACGATTCGGCCTTCGTAAGCACTAATTCTAATCCATAGTTTGCTATACTGTCCCTTAAAAACGAAGCTGGTGTATTCATAGGTCTCTCTAATTTGATTTTACAAGCCTTCAACTCTTGATTTTCACCTGTACTCGTTTAAAATTACTTTTCGTCTGACTTCTTGAATTAGCTCATTTTGATGAACACCTCTTCCTACATTTACTGGGGTGGCACATCTATCCTTATTTACAGCTCTGCGCAACCATCAAAGGATATAACTCTTCGCTACATAGAGAAGCGTTATTAACAGAGATAATCTAGTTGAGAAAAACAATTCACGACAAACAATAATTCCTGTTCTGTTTCATTGTTACAAAATATCTCATTGTTTTAAAAAGTAGTTTAGTTTTAGGCTGAGTTTTAATTGACAGAACATCTTAACTGTTGGGCAAATGGGTGTCAATCCTTCTCGAAAGTCCTCGAGCAGGAGAACACGCACACGGATCAACTGGTGTTTGGCCTACTGCTTAAACTAACGTTTTCGTCGAATTAAATACTATAAACATCCTCCAGTATTTATGTGTTGACATACGGAAACAAAGACGTTATTTGAAGGGGCTGTCAATTACTCGTCAGGGTACTTAATCGTCAACCAATCAGTCATGGATTCGAAACCCACCTTATGCGTCAATGTTTCGTAATTATCTTACTGGATAGTTCGGTATTTTGTAAGTCTAATTTGAAGGGTTTTTGGTCATGTTGAGCCATCTGTAATGTTATGTGCTTTGATACGGATGGCTTTTCGTTGTGCTAGAGTGATATCCTGTTATAAAGCAGTTTTCTTCACACATATGATCCGCTCATAATACATTAGTGTAATAACCACTTTCCTGCAATTTATCCTGTAGTCGTGTTAAGTGAATCATACTCCTTCGAATTTTACTTTCAGGAAAACTAAGTTCGTATATGTGGCAGTAGAATTGTTTGGATACTTATTTATGCATTCTAAAAACAGTCCATTATGAGATACTAGTGTTATTCAGGGAACTGACCGTTTGAAAAAACTAGGAACTGAGATGTGGATACCTTTTTCACAAGAGGACTTCTCAGCAATATGCGTCACTGATTTCGCTCAGTACTTTCACTTTTCGAGGTGATCATATGACTACTAACCAAGTGTTTAGGATGAAATGATTTGTGTTTTTCTAAATTTAGACAATCCATAATGAACAGTAACCGACCTGGATTGAGATAGCTCTCTGATTATCAGTTCGTGATTAAAATTGTCTTCTAAATGAGTTATACAGGCTTTTCAGTTTCACGGATGATTTCAGGTTGAAGGTATAGTGCCGAATAATTCACTTTGTGAGATTTACGGATATAATATCTTATCAGTACATATAAAATTAAATCAAGGCATATGTGAAGGTTGATAGATCACCTGTCTTGTCAATTTGATAGGTAGGTTTTAGCAAACAATAAATTCATCAGGCTTCATCCATTTTGCAAGTCGTTTTATGTGATCAGGTCCAACGTTGCAACAACCTCCAACCCAGTGAGCTAAAGGATGATTATAACTATCTGTCAGTTGCTGCGGGTGATCAGTATCTTGGATTTCTCGACGTTTAGCCCATCGCATAGTACTTTGAAGCCAGCTTTCACCGCCATTTTGTGCGTGACATGCTGGTTGTCCTATAAGATCATTTGGCATCCATAAACGACCATCATTCGCATAAAATAACAATAATTTTCTTGAGGTAGTTTTACATTCTGTTGAATTTTTAAATGTTAAGTTTTCAAGTGCTTCACCAATAAGATTATGTGGTATGTTACAATTGACCCCAATACCGAAAACCTAATAATAGATTTAAAAAGAGATGCTTAGGTTGGGATTATATAATCGAATATAAAATAAACAAGACTCGCTAACCATATATAGATTCGTATGCTGAGTTGTCAGCTAGATCTATTATGTGAAGAATTATTAAACTTCGTGAACTTTCAAATTGAAGCAAGAGGAAGTGTTTTAAAGAGGGACTCGAACTCAACTGCTGCGTGCATTTCTGCATGGTACGTTACTAACCACACCTAAGAGAGGAAACGTATCTGTTTTCAAACACCGTGGTCCGAAAGTTAAGAATCGATCTTTTGGGCTCTTTAGTCAACACCTTGTTATATCTATATCGGAAGGTTGGGAGATTTCTGAAGTATGTTGGCACTAATTTATTAGTTTGTTTAAAGAGCAATTTCCATCGCTTTTCTACTCAAGAAACCAATATGTATTATTCGTGGTTTAAACACGTCACAGCGGGAAATCTTAACACTTTGAAATCTAACCAGTTTTTTGTGGAAAAGTGGTTACTTTTCATAGACCGTACTAACTAAGAAAAGCATGAAAAACAGAATTTAAAGTGTAAGTGGTTTCCTGGCTTCCTATATAAATTTTAACGTTATTCAACCAATAAAGCGCTGAATAATTGTTTCGTCTCATACATCAACCATTTGGTTTACGTAATTATATTGCCGTTGAGTTATATGGTCCGAATCCAACGATGTACGTTATTAGTTTGTTATTCAACGCTGCTGTTCTATGGCATGCCCATTAATTTGTTTACAACCTGCGGTTGGTAGTCGATGGGGGACTTCTACACTTGACTAATTTTCCGGAACTTTTTTGTAGATGAGGTAATCTTAATATGCAAACTTCGGCGCTAAGTTTCTCATGATCGCACTAACAAGCAAAAATTAAGCACCTTACTATGACATTATATTTATTAGATGGATGCAAAAGACAAGTTGACATTAAATTAACATCATTCACCAATGTCAGGATCGATTTTTCGAAGCTATTATTGAAACTGTGACTCCTAAGATCAACCGTTTTGAAAGTCAAGTTGGTTCAACCGCCAATGCTGTGAGAAGCGAATCGTTAAATTCCAACCAACCGATTGTATGATAGGTTTACCACTGACGTCTCTGTACTGTATGAATTGGATGAGCAATGATAAATCTCGTTGTAAGACGAAGTATTATCCTTGTGCTGCCTGGTTTTTCGCCTCTGTGTGATGAAAATAACCTCAAGTTAACATAATTATGTGCTACAGTTAGATAGTGTGGTCTCCTGAGGTACATACATGTAGTAATCATGAACATCTTATAAAACAGATAGATACTTTCATTTTAGATGTAAAGGTTCACAAACTCAACTACGATTATGTTAAAAATCTGTCATTCAAATTTGAGTATGAACAGGATCTATTGTCGATATTTGTTCTAGCATTTATTCCACAAGAAACCATCATAAACACATTTTCATTCTCATAGTCAAACCAAATGAAAATTTGAAACAAATTATTTCTATGGATTTAGAGGACGTGATTAAAGAACTTAGTTCATCTGAAAAATCTGGTGTTTGCGTAATTCTTTTTGAACAATCTCATTGCAAATATACTTGTCAATGAATTTTATATGGAAAGAAAAGAGAAGGAAAAATACAGCAGTAAAGGAGGAAATAATCAGAAAAGAACTAACCTCGGTAATGGGACAAATTATACCCAAACATATTTAGTATAAGGATAAACTGTTTTCAACATACATAAGGCTTAAACATGCGTATGGCTGGAGCTCCCACAAACCTAATTTTATACCTCCGACAGTTTCTACGATAAATTGTAAAAGCTATGTTGTTATCAGTCCCGTGACGTTTGATAATAATTTGTTTTGTGATCGCTGGAGATGGTTGTCTGACACATGCTCTTATCAGTTTGATAATGCAGCTGATTCTGTAACCACTTAAAATAATTTCTAACTATTGGTAAGAAAAAGTAAGACGATGGTTGAAACTCATTAGGAAAGATGTGCAGGATTTTTTCCCGCTAGGTTTTCCACCACAGTTACTCGAATTCGTTCATCTTCATGTAATTTGAAAAGAATATTCAGGCGTCAGAATTAACAAGAACAGTCATAAAGGTCTCATATCTACCTACCATCAGATGATCATTGCATTAGTGTTCCGCTTTCCTTATATCCCATTATACTCATTTATAAAACAGCATAAAACGTCATGTAAGTTTAGCAACACCACTTAAGTTTAAATGAAAAGACAAAGCAATTAAAGAAAGAATCGCAAAACACACTTCTATTTGACGACTGTAAATAGAAATCCAACAACTCGACAAGATATTATTCGTACATTAGTGTTAAAAACTTGCAGGTAATTAGATGAATTGAGTACATGTCTTTCAGTTCCAAGCATTCAAGGAGGCGAGTGTATAGTTGAAGAGTTGCAATGATCTTGAGATTGCAAGCCCTAGATGTTCAGCGTTTTAATGAAAAAATTCGTTGCTGAGATAACCGGTTACCTACTAGAACTAAACGATCATTCTAATCGATTCCTACACCTGTGAGGTTCACAAATAACACTAAAGACACAGGACAACATTCTTCGAAGGACACCAGACTTTTCAAAAAGTAGTATTATCACTATACCATAGGAACTATTTCAAACATTGGAAACCAGACCTTACAAACAGCTAACATTTGTATATCAGTATTTGGAATAAAATTCCAGCGGTTTTCTTGGGAGTTCGATCCTAGCTTCTTCAGAGAAATGGTGGGAGTTATAACACCTAAAATTTCTACATGAAGATGAAAACATGTGCTTATTCTCCTTGATCATTCCTCTTTGCATATTTACTGATTACAAAAGGTGATTAACGATCAGTTAGTATGAAACTGTGTTGTTATTCATAGTCTTCCTCACTGAAAATATGAGTTAAAAATGTTATAGGCGACACCGTAGTCACCACTTCATCCTATGTACATGTACAATGAGATATGGATGTATATGCTATATCATTTATGTCAGTCTGTAAGGATAAATTGATATTACTAATTTTCATTCTACTATCTGTTAGAATAAAGGAGTGAATAATTGTAGTAATAAGGATGATTATGATCACAATACACCTAGTTGATCCATACTGTGTGATAATGAAGATCAGACTGTTGATGAATGTAAATGCGAAGGTCATCCTTCTTGTTTGTTAATTAGTAGCTGCCAAGATGCAGGTAACTGTACTGCATCCCGTGTGTTTGGATTAAATGAATTCGCTGACATATGTTAGGCATCGGCAGGCAATCCATATGGTTAGGACCCAAAATCTGTTTGTAGGACTCCAGTTCCAACAATATAAATCTTGCATCTTATTTCTGTTGAGGATAATCTTGAATTCTTTATCTACTTTACCAATTAACTATAGCACGGAGTTTGAAATAGATGTAGGTACTGTTTAGTCAGTTGGCTAAAATTGTTTTTTACAGAAATGGTTACCCTCGGTTCAAGCTCCATCTGCGCGGTTGCACCCTGAACAGTGTTCATCCTCGTTTAGATATCTTGGGTGTTTTAATTTACATTATCACCCTGAAGAAGCTCGGACCGCACTTCCATGGGAAACGCTGCAATTAATTTATTGGAAAGACCCTGATAGTTACGGAAATGTAAAGCGAATTTATCTACCTACCTACTTTTGATCCGGAAGTCTCAAAGAAGTTACTATTACTGAAACAAACTTAATTCTGCTTTTCGTTACAAATATATGGACAAACCTGTTCACACTTCTGTACTTCATGCGCAACAGATGACAGAAGATCCCCACCTGATGTTGTCTTACCATCTGATGAAGAGACAGAAATCCAGCAGTAGGCTGATGATAGTCTACGCATAACTTCGCATATTGCTGAAACTTCAATTAAAAGTGGCACAGTCTCCCACGCTATAAAATCTACTCCAGATTGTAGCAAAATATGTGCTCTTGAATAATGAAATTTAACTAGCTCATTGAATGTTACTGCCGATGAATAAGATCCAGTATACTCTGACCCATCAGCAATGCAAGCTCCATAAGGACCCAAAGATCCAGCAATCAGAATAGGCAATTTCCTATGGAATTCAATCTGATTATCTAAATTATTCTCTTCTTTACAAGCTCTTCTTGCCAAACATACAGCGGTACGCATTAGATTTTCTGCTTCTTCTTGCGTTATTCCAAGTGCTTTATCCAATGTTGTGGGCGACGCCTGATAAGTGTTTGTAGAAATCACATCACAACCGCACGAAGAAAACTGTAAAAAATATAACTTTTTAAGTTTGAATTTTGATGCACAGAATAATACCATCGACCTAGTAAACTATGAAGTCTAACTAGTGTGGAAATTTAACAGTAAGTGATGACGTGTGATTGAAAACATCATAGCTTTTATAATCATGTAATTCAAGGAATAATTACTTTTAATTCAGTCTCGAAAGGCTTGCGATAAATAAAATAATGATGAATTGATACGAAATTACAGTGAAACAAACAAGTAGTTTTATCATTTAAAGAAGCATACTGAACAGAAACGGTTTTAGCGTTTGGTTTATCAACAATAATTTATCCAATAGTGACGAACAAAATCTCGTACTAATTGTATCTACTATTTACCAATGAATAGTCTTACTGTGAACAACCGAAAAAAAATCTGCACAGTAAACCACAACAAGAAACACATCCATTATAGAACGTTTGTTTTGGATACTTATAATTCCAGCCCTTCAGCAATTATAAATTTCAAAGCTACTTAACAAGAGATCCTTAGTGGAGCCATTTTAGCCATATATATATATATATATATATATATATATATATATATATATAAACTAATGAAGTGGGTTAACAGTGCTGTTTGGATTTTTCAAATGGTTTTTACTAGGATCTTTGCACTGACTCAATCTTCATATCTAACTGCTACTATACAGCAGTTAGATATTCCTATCAAAAGCTCTCCCACAAGTTTAATAGATGTATAGTCAGAAGATCAAACGAATAGATCATTAGTTGGTGAACTCTGCAGTCATAGTTAATCTAATTAAAAAGGAATTTTTTTTCATCCAAATATTTTTTTACATTATTTGAAATTTCGTCAAAACTAGGCTTATTCAACGTAAGAAAAACAAAATTTACGATTTTCCATATCCCATAGTGAGAAAACGCCTAAAAGAACAACAACATTGCTTACCAAATAAACATGGATGCTACAAAAATAGAAACCCACTCAGCAACCTTGTACACATTCGTCCCGTAGACAGTTAATTATTATTATTTGTCCCTTGGGTTCCTAGTGGAACGTAGGAATTCAGTAGCACATCTCCATTTCACTCTCTTCCTACCGTCTTTTAACCTGGCTCCACGACTGCCCACAAGCTTTCATTTCTTCCGCACATGATCTCCTCCATGTCATCTGCAGCTGGCACACCGAACTTGTCGTTCCCCACTTCGGATTCCACTCGACGGCCTGGCGCGTGATGTCCCCAGTCGACCTTCTCACTATCCCCAATCCATCTCCACTCTCTTCTGCATATTTGTTGGGTGACAGGCTCTTGCTTGGTCCGTTCTCAGAGTTACCTGTTGTTTATTCTTTCTGACTATCTGATCTTCAGTATCGAGTGTAGGCAGCAGCTGTTGATGAATGTCTGTAGTTTGTTGGAAATGCTCTTCGTAACGCGCCAAGTCTCACGACCATCACATAGAAGCACTGACTTGACCGACATTGGTGTTGAAAATCCGGATCTTGTTCACTCCTTATGCTGAGTGCAGTAGATCTCCACACTGGTTTCAGATTAATGAAAGCCTGTCTTGCTTTTCCGATCCTCCCTTTGATGTCCTCATCTGTGACGCCGACTGTAGTTGAAACGACACTGCCTAGGTTGGTAGGTGAAAGAAACAACTTCCTTTAGGCTTCTCCCGTTCATGGTGATCGATGCTCGTTGTTGATGCTGTTGTTTTCTAGGTATCTTCATCACCTCTGTCTTCTCTACGTTCACTTCAAGAAAGTCTCGTCTTCGTCGCCTCTTCTGTCAACTTGTTGGTTTTTGCCTGTAGATCTTCGAGCTTCTGCGATATTAGACACAAATCATCATCAGTGGAGAAATCCAAATCTTCTAAGGTCTTTTCATCGGTCAAACAGCGTATGCCCGTCTTCTCACAGCTCCTCACAGTTTCTTGCATAATCAAGTCGACCACAATCGGGAAGATCATCTGTGATAGTAGGCAGCCTTGTCTTACTCCCGTCTTCACTTCAAACGCACCACTAAGCTTTCCATTGTGAATCATTCGGCATGTGGTGTCTTCATATTGTTGTTGAGTGAGATTAGTAAAGGTTTATGGTACCCCGTAGTGTTGAAGCAGTCGCCAAATTACTTCTCAGTCGACGCTGTCGTAGGCCGTTTAAAATCGATGAAGTTGTGGTGAAGAGTTGACTGGTATTCTATGATGATGTGTAGCGTCGTGTTGCAATTTGATCCGCATATGAATTGTTCTTCCTGAATCCAGCCTGTTCCGGTCCTAATTTTGAATCCAGAGCATTCTTTGGTCTTTCTAGGATAAGGCGGCTTAGCTTAATATTTTGGTTGGGGTGGAAAGTAGCATGATTCCGCGCCAGTAACAATTTAGGATACACGTGTTGATGCAGATAACGGAAATTAAAAATACGACGGTTGTATCAGTTATATAGTTTCTGTGATTTTACGATTGCAGAATAATTTATATAAACTATGATGAAGATTTGATCGTATACTATGGCAAATATCGGGCGCCGAGTAGAAGATTAAAATTAGATAGAGATTGTATTTGTGTACGTCACAGCGGGTTTGAAATCAGATAATTCCTATCAGAAGATAAATCCTACAAAGTCGCGTGCCACACTGAACAAGCTGAAAGCCGCAACTAGCAGACTCATACAATCTATAAAGGACAAGTTAGGTACTTATCTATGGTTCTCATTAGCACCAAAAAGTTGCAACCCTTGTAGATTCTACGGATTGCCAAAACTTCATAAGACAGACATACCTCTCAGACCAGTGGTGGATTTACTAACTCACCCACATACAATTTAGCAAAATACATTTCATGAATCCTAAAACCATACGAAAAGGAATTAAAATATGTAATAAAGAATTCGTCTGAATTCATGAATAAAACCATCACATTACATTAATGAAGACGAAATAATCGCAAGTTTTGATGTTTGCTCTTTCTTTACTAACGTGCCTATTAAAGATGCGTTAGATACCATTCATAACCTACTGCTGTCAGATACTGACCTGAGTTCACGTTGTCTATTGGTTCCAGGAGAAATTTTGAAGTCCCTGGAATTATGCTTACGATCGACTGTATTCACGTTCAGCGGAGATCTGTACCGACAGACAGATGGTATAGCAATGGGATTTCCAGTATCACCAATAAAAGCTAATTTGTTCATGCATTCCTTAGAGACAAATGCTATTGCAAATTGCTCTACACCTCCTAGAATTTGGTTAAGGTACGTAGACGATGCGTTTGTCATCATCAAACGAAATAGTCAGGATGAACTCTTCTGTCATATAAATAATGTGTGTGGAAGTATCACTTTCACCAAGGAAGTTGAATCCAATTTGTCGAAATTAAACTTTATGGACTGTATAGTGGAAAGACAGGACTAGAACAAACTAAAGATTAAGATCTTTAGAAAAGCAACACATTCTAACAGATATCTCGATTATCAGTTTGCACATCCTATGACTACTAAGGTAACTGTCTCACGGAATCTGATTAGCGGGGCTAACCGTCTTGTTACAACGGAAGAGGACAAGGACGAAGAGTTAAAGTTACTTTGCCGCAAACTGGAAGCAAAACAGTTGTCCCAAAGGTTTTGTTAGACGTATTTTAAAAAATGAAATTAAGGATGTGCGGAAACTCTCTCCGAAGAATTGGACAAGCACGGTCATAATCCCATACCGAAAGGAGACTTCAGAAGAAGTAAGAAGGATTCTCAACAACCACAACACAAGACTTTACTTCCGTGCAACAACTACCCTACGTTCTTAGTGAAAGTTAAAGATGTAGTACCTAAAAAAATCAGCAGAACTGCGCCTTTGAAATTAAATGCAGAGATCGTACTGCAGTATATGTAGGGGAAACAGCCTGGCAGGTAAATGTGAGAGTCAATGAGCATAAGCTATGCTTAAAGCAGATCCCGAAAACCTCAGCAGAGGTTAAGAAACTAAAAAACAAATCTGTGATCGCCCTACACTCCATAGAAATAGGACACAAAATTGACTTTGATGGAACTAAGGTTCTACTAAAAGGTTTTGGGTCATACCAAGAAAGACTGACAGCCGAAGCCCTACATATACGGGCGAATCCAGACAGTTTGAACAGACGAGATGGAGTACAGTTAGCTGCTTCTTGGCAATTACTAATAAGCAAGCAGAAAGAGAGACTCAAAACATTTACCGTCAACACTGATCTCAAATACATTGTTTCTGCTTCAACAACACAACCTGGACTGATTTCATTCATTATTACTAACATCATCATTACTACTATTACCACTACTCATTTCCACTCTATTCCGGTAAAGCAATGCGAAGAAAATTCGCTAACACTATTCACATTGATATGATTATGAGCAACAATTTATGCTCGAAACGTCATCAAGTAAATAGTATATATATGTATATATCAAATAAACAAATCTAATAAGGAATTAATTTCTACCACAGTGGCCAAGTTTTAAACCTATATTCACCACTTTATTCCAACTGAAATTTTATACACATCCACCTCATCCTTTTCAATTTGTACTGATAAAATTACCGAATGACTGTCACCAATGGCCTTTTTGTCTGACATTTACAATCAAGACAAATGTGAATTGGAGTACATATATATGTCATACAACAAAAGACACAATTTCACACTGAATGATTAGTTATCATAATTTAGAAAGACAATGACTATACGAAGAGGAATGGACAAGGATATTAAAAAAAACGTTTTTTGAATTCATTTACATAACCCTTGATATTTTTATTTTGATTATTGCCCTGAAGCTCGAACCAGACTTCAGTGTGAAACGTTGGAATAATTTGATTTCAAACCCGCTGTGACTTACACAAATACAATCTATATCTATTCTTAACCAAAAGGTATGTAACGGGTGGTACGCTGTAGTAATTATCTGAAGGTCAATGAAATTTCTGCTGTCCAAAACCTCTACTTGGATACAAAACTAAGTCAGTTAGTAAGTCAACATCAACACAGGACTTGACATTCTTTCGTAAGGATCCAGGTTATGATGTAAAACCTGTATATAGCCATCAGAGTAAAATAGCAGGTAAAATAATAACGAAATGCGACATGACAGTTAGGACGAAGATGAAATATGGACTCATCGGAGCGAATGAGATTGATTTTGGTACGTACTTCATACAGTGGATAACCGCCAATTTCGATTATCAGACGCAAACCAATAAGGAAGTCTCCATCGACTGATGCCTGGAATTAGTCAAGCTAAAACCTAACATACATAATGTTGCACGACAGAGTAGACATAGACTAGATAAGCATTAAAAGATTCCAGACTGCTGAAAAAATTATGGGGTTACGATCTCATCAACTAATTAACCTATATCGTTTATGACTCTACGGTCAACCAGTGTATTAGTGCACCGGTGGTTTCACAATAAACAGGCAACTCTACATATGCGATGGTGGTAGAACACATAAAGGTTCCTCATATTCTCCACCTTTATTGGCTATGTTTCGCAACAGTTGGGTACAACACAGAGAAATGAAGAGCATATCACTCAACCATTAATAGGCAGTCAGATACCACGGCTACACTTTGAATGGCGTAAGTTGACGAAAGTCAAGTAAGCCTTTTGTGCTCGTGCACAGATTCTGTTCGTCACTGAGACACCAGGATGGCTTCAACCTCCTAGGTAAGTGAAGTAGTCTACGCGCTCAACCGACTGTTGAACAATGCATTAACAGAGACCAGTCCTGCAGCAATAACTCGCGTTAGGATGGTGAGAAACACACTCCAAATATTCTAAAACTACCACTCACGGTGCCCAGAAAACTCTGTACTTCGTCAGCATCTTCACCAAATTAAACTATGTCATTAGCATACTCTACGTCTAGTGTGGAGCCCCTGTGACTACGTCAATCAAAGTTTACTCAGACAAGAACAGGTAGACTTCCACAAATCTGCCTATGACAACTAAACAAGAGTAGATATTCTTGATGTACACAGTTCAACTGATAACTAACCATGGGCTGGTACGACCACGCATGTTCGAGTACAGTCTTTGGAACCGGTCCATATAATCGCCGTCCGTTTTAGTGAGAGACACTGCCATAAAACAGAGTTGGATTTCGCCTTTAGATTGAGAAACATAGTTAGTTTAACGCACCGGAAAGTGCGACTGTGTTCAGAGATCTAGCAAAAGGTGATGATTCAGGTAGTACATTCATGGGTTCGTTGTTTGCGACTATCAGGCGTCAATGATTATAGGGCCTAGATTTCTCGACACAATGTTTTTTTAATCTGATTTCTCTTTCCTCATCAAAAAAGCAATTTTCCACTCTCTTGAAAATTTGAACAATCAGCGATATATGCCAGTCGTGAGGATTCATATTCGATTCCTATATGCTATATAACTAACACATCCGTCATTCTAACCAATAACCCTAACATCTTCGAATACTTCTGGTGTAAGTACGCTGTAGTCTGCTGCCCTTAGTTGTTTTAATTTGCTCACAGCCTTCTCATCTTCCGTAAAAGTCAGAGACTCAGCCCGAATGTTCTATTCACAGTGCTGATAGAGTAGGTAACCAAAGAACAGCTATTTCCTGAGATATTCTACCCATAGTTCTAGTTTTGTAACTTGCGGTAAGTCTCAATAGGTGTCTACTGGTACTTATTGCCGCTGCAAACCAACTCTCTCAGTAAAGACTAATTAACGAAAAAAGTGGAACAAATTCAGTAACCATATACACGTTTGTGCAGTAAGCAATGAGCCATATCTTTTATGTAAAGGCTTATGATACTAGTTGACTGCCCAGATCTCGGTAGTTGAAACTGGGCTTGAACTCGTGAATCATCAGCTGAATGTCAAGTGCCTAGACCAATAAGCAACAACTCCATGAGTAACAACTAACTAGATGTTTAGGTTTTGCACTAAGATGGTCACTTATTTACTTGTTTGCCTATTTTATCAAGCGAGACGGGAGTACAGACGTCAAAGGACTCTTAATAAAGTTATCGAGCTTATTTACCGATACTTATAATTATGCGTTTTTATTCTGGATTGAGGTGATCGAGCTATGTTGGGATCTGGGCTCCCATTTCGATGCCTCAATATTGCCTGATTATTGGTTATATTGTAATTTTCATGGTAATGACTAGCAGGGGAACCCACGACGCATGTTTCATTGTATTTGGGACTCGTCACAACTAGATGTACCAGAACCCTAGTGAGTGATTTTGTTACCATTGAGACTCGAACCCAGAGCTTCGAACGCCGGAGCGTTCACCACTGGATCATGAGAGCCATATATTATGAAACAGGTATCAACCACCATCAAACACATTACAACATTATCAGCCTTATTATTAAAAAACGCATACCCACAGTATGAGGAGTGAATGCTTATGCGAACAATAAGTTATCATTTTTATACATAAAACCTATAAACCATAAGTTTTAGGTTTAGTAGAAATTTTTACAGACAAAAGAAGAAAGTTTACATATTTCACATTATGAAGAATTTAAAAACACGTACCATAAAGGCTGCAAGATGGATGTTTCCGTCGATAGCAATAGTACATCCCAAAAACTAAGTAACCTCGCAAAATGCAGTCTTCGATGCGAAACAAACATAGTAACCGGTTATGACGATCAAAATAGTGAAATAATTACCTGTGCTTATAGGAGGAAATTCTTGAGATTTACAGTTTTTAGGAATACAGAATGATGGATTTACAAATCAGTTAACTCTACTTATTAATTTAGTTGCATCAACACTATTGGGCTGAAAGAGTGTTGGGTAAAACTCTGTTCTACTCAACTATACGGCTATGAGAAGAGGCCTTTACAAGTCAGTAAAGGACACGAAGATACGTAACATTCCGTCACTTGTGACGGAAACCCAGAGTAGGGAATGAGGAAGTTAATCACGAGATTGTGAATTCACATCCAATGAAGTAATTATAGCATATTTAGTGCATTAAAAGTAAGCCCATGCTATGTGTTATGTTGGCGGAAGTAGCATTAGGCTGCCAGATCGAGACGTGATACCAATCTATTAAGACTCTAGCTATGACTTTGTAGGTTAACTATTCAGTGTCCTCAAAGTTTTAGGAAATGATGGTGGTGACAGACCTAATGGAATGACTGCGAATCAGATACAACGGCATGGATGTATTCTCTTTATTATTTAAGTTATGAACATAGTGTTGGTCTTAATTTGTTACATGCTATACCATATCTCTCTTTTGGGAAGTACACTTCATAAAAAATCAATTTGCCATTAACTGTATCATTTAAATTACCTCCTTGAAGTATACTTATGGAAATGCTATATGCAGTACCTATTTCAGTGAAACAGATTTTTCTTCGGTGCAGGAACTAATAAATTAGTTGATATCTCCTAGCATTCTCTTATTTTCAACTGTAGGTGGCTAGGTGTATGATCAGTTTGGTAACGTGGTAATATAATCTAAGTCCGTCCAAGTTTATATCAACCAAATACCGACATGTTTCTATATTTAGTATATTTCCTTCAATTCATACATCCCATCTTTTAATAGAAACTCTTTAAGACGGCTTTCTAAAACGGATCGATATCAGTCAGGGAGCCATTACAAACCTGCGAGAACTGCAGAGTTATCTTGTCTCCGTTTGAGAATTCCAAAGCCTACTGCGGGAATGACCTTAGAACGATCAAGTCTTACAGCCGTTTTATGGCTGATCTCGACCCGTGGTGATAAACCCAACAAAACTGCAACCAACAACTATTCCAAAGAATCACGATGGTGAGTCTACTAGCTCGGTGGCCACATTGCAAGATGACTGATAGAATTCGACCAGCACTCAGGACTAGACAACATAAAGTTGTTTACTCTCCAGTGACCCAACCAATGGATATTTTGGTTTTTTAAAATTGTAAATAAGAAATATTAGCATATCCATCCGCCCAAGAGGGAATCATATATGCATAGCATGGTTCAGATATGAGATAAAACATTCGTTTAGAAACAACTGTATGACAAATTAGCAGATCAGAAGAAAATATATGTTTTAAAAGAAGAAAAATAATTTCTAGAGGGTTCTTTTAAAGGTTAAAACTGGAAAATGGAATTATTGTGGATCAACGTGCAAAAAGGGTGCAACTTACGACTTGTGTATCTCAACGACAAGTTCCGGATCTTCCTTCAGTAACCTGGAGCTCCAAGCCATATGCCCATCAATTTGCAGATTTGATCTTCTTTGACATTCGGTTCCAAATCCTCCATCCAGAACCCTTACTTCAGTCAGCCACTGAAACACTCGTTCATTAACTGCGTTGTTCATAATGCTCAGAGCTAATCATAATAGTAATAAGAATGATAAGACACTGAAACAGATAAACAGACTTGGAAATATCAAAAGTAAGGAAGAATAAAAACAGAAGAATGAACTCAGGCTAACCAGACTGATAGATTACTAAAGAAGTAAAGCAAATTAAGAAGTAAAACACTAAGTGGAGATTCTGGTAAGCGATTAAAAATCACCTGGAATCTGATTGTTTTCTAGGAAATCATTTTTAAGGTTGAGTGCCTAAATACCGTAAAGAGAACCGAAAACTACATGCTGCTTATTGGTTGTTTGTCTGCAGTTTAGTTTCCACCGGTAACATTTTTAAAAAGTAGCAGAAGATTTATACATATTATGGTTGATGATGATTTACGGAATCAAACTGCAGTTAACTTGTTTGCTTAGTGAATGAGTCATTATATCAATGTGGTAACTGTGATCAATATTTGGATTGCGAAAGAACAAGACAGCATATTCCATCGATTAGTGACATCTTAAGGTGTCCCTGATTGTATTCACTCCTCTTGAATTCCTTTACTTTACTGTACATGCTTACCTCATCTTAAATACTAACTCAATTCAAAATAGTCCGTTGAATAAACAAACGATTGTCCTCCAGCCCGTGTTGATAGCTACAACATTAAAAATTGCTTGGAATACAATGCTAAACCCTGAATAGCTGCTGACTCAAAGCGCAGGATAGATCAATAAGTTCTAATCTAGTATAAGATTGGTAGATATGGCACTTGGTCAAAATCATACCGGTAATCCACAGAATTTCCGAATGGTTACCCAGCTTGTCTGATCCAACAAGAAACGAAATTTAGAATGATAAAATTCTCGAAACTCAAGAAGTAGCGAAAAACTTCATATAGACTTGCAGCTGTATGTGTTATATACCTGAAAAAAACAGGCATTTCAGTATAACCCCAGTCTTCAATAATCGATGCACCACAGTTTGACAGAAACTTCAAAAGACTAAAATTCATATCAGTCACTTACAAGAACACTGGATTTCGGATAGCTATGCAGACGATTTACACTCAAACGGATATGATTTAGAAAGGGGAGATTAGTTAAGCATACATAAATGACGGCTGTGCATCAGATTAGAATTTTATGCAGAAGACTACGCTCATTATGTGGTATGTTGAGAAACTGATATTCTGGATTTTCGCTTGCAGTGAAATTGAAGAAAGTTTCTCACCATAAGTGAAAATTCATTGAGAGGGTATCAAAACGGATTAAAAACTGTAAATCTGGTGAGACCAGAAGATGCCAGATGCTACACGTCTACAGGAAGACACGCAGCTAGATATAAAGTGCATTCACTAAACATTCACTGACAGAGACTTTGTATTTCATAGATCGGCTTTCTATGTAGAGATGCGTCGGGGAGACGTAGACTGCGTGGCTGGGGCCTTCCAGACGAAAGGAATCAGTGGATGAAGACTGCTAAGGACATGACTGAAAGCAGGTCACAATGGAGCGGATGTATTCACTCAGTGACATCTTCCAAAGCTTAAATATTTACATGATCTTTGTATTTTTTTCAGAGAGTGGTAATACAACAACAGCTGTAAAACCTAGACAATATCCTTCACAGCTGTTGCATAATGGACACCTCTTGAAGTAAATATTGCACCGTATGCAATTCTTCAAAATTCCATAGGCAAAATCTAGCCAACCTATCCAGACGCTTTACATAGGATAATACCATTAATTTGAATAATAATTTTTCTCATACCTGAATACCGTTAATTCAGAGCACATAGGTGGCGTTGATGAAAGGTAGTAAGTAGTAGGACTATGGACACAGTGATCAAAAATACTTGTTGAACAAATCTCACAATGTAGAAGTGCAAATTTGCAATCATAGAATAAAACCATTGTAAACTCATATTATAAATCCAACCTTTCGTAGGCAACCAAATATCCTGATTGTGGTATTATTAGTGAAATACGTTGACATTTTTCATACAACGACCTATCTCACTTACTACTTTCGATAGCATTCAACTTTTCAATCACAAGTATTAAGACTCGTAACGTCTTTCACTGTCACACAATTATACCAAGATTTTAGGCTGGTGAAATACATCCATGAATGCATTCAAAATAAATCATATACATAAATTACAATAATTGTAAATAACAATACCTGAGGAAAAAGCTTAAGACATGAAACTTGTCTTATTACAAAATGGAGTTATTGGTTAGAATGATGTGAACCAGATTCTATAGCATACTTCTAAGAAAGAGGCATCACAAAAGTATACTTAAAAGAATGCTCATACAAATATCGAGTTTAGGGTCTTCAGCTGAGATAGCTTGGACATGTACTTTCCATGTCAAGTCACCGCCTACCTCGACGTTCCATGACAGGGGAAGCCGGATTAAGTTGGAGGAGGACTTAGGGTGGCCAAACCAGTACGTCACTAGTCGATAAAGTCTCTGACTATTTGTCTGAGTCATGTGGGGTCGTCGAGTCGAAAGGAATCACTGGTTGAGAACTTTTGGTGACATGGCGGAAAATGGGCCACGATGGCACAGATATATTTACTCCTTCACATCTCTCAAAGCTTGAATATTTGCACTAACCGTTATCTTCAGATTGTTTATTCTCTTACACAACTTTGTCTACTTTGATATCACTCTTTTTCTATCCACCTGTTCTTTGTGTACTACTGTGAAGTGTGGCAACTTGAGTCGATCCACCTGTGTGAGAGGTTCTACGTTGATTTTGTCATTTAGTTATTTAGAGGTTGTATTAAAATACATCAAGATGAGTATTAATGTAAAATCAGTATTATAGTAAGCAAAACCGTATCTTTCATCGGCACCAGCAGTGTTTTCCTCTTGTATGACGTAACTATGAACAATTCTCAACCTAGGAATCTGAAAAACCGTCGTGTTTGATAGGCCCTAATAAGGAGTTTCCCTGGGTTCTCTGGTCATAGAAAAGTAATATTTCTTATCTCATTTAGGTATCTTGCAGAAACAGCTTCAACGTTGAGCAACCGAAGAGTACAAACAGCCCACGTACTTGAAGCACCATACAAAACCCAACAAATGACAATCTACCTTTCTTAGCTTCATGTTCTCCCAGCTTTCACTCTCTGATACCAACATCAAGCGCCTTATAGTTCCCTCAACTTCTCATCCTGCAACAACTGTTAACGATTCAAGCGAGTGAAACACCACTCCAAGTGTCCTGAAAAATACTTTCTGAGATGATATAGTATTTTAGCTTGGTTGCTTCTTTATTCCTTCCGTTAAGAATAAGAGGTGAGGCAGATGGTGACTAGGCACGCTCAATACATGGCTATAACACTTCTGTCAATGAAGGTTCACAATCTCAAGAAGTGACTATCTTCTGTCCGAAACCCTACGGTATATTTCTAAATCATATAAGCGGTGACACCATGACACGCAGTCTATGCTACGAACACAATAGAGGTCAAACACATAAAGGTTCCTCATATTCTCCACCTTTATTGGCTATGTTTCGCAACAGTTGGGTACAACACAGAGAAATGAAGAGCATATCACTCAACCATTAATAGGCAGTCAGATACCACGGCTACACTTTGAATGGCGTAAGTTGACGAAAGTCAAGTAAGCCTTTTGTGCTCGTGCACAGATTCTGTTCGTCACTGAGACACCAGGATGGCTTCAACCTCCTAGGTAAGTGAAGTAGTCTACGCGCTCAACCGACTGTTGAACAATGCATTAACAGAGACCAGTCCTGCAGCAATAACTCGCGTTAGGATGGTGAGAAACACACTCCAAATATTCTAAAACTACCACTCACGGTGCCCAGAAAACTCTGTACTTCGTCAGCATCTTCACCAAATTAAACTATGTCATTAGCATACTCTACGTCTAGTGTGGAGCCCCTGTGACTACGTCAATCAAAGTTTACTCAGACAAGAACAGGTAGACTTCCACAAATCTGCCTATGACAACTAAACAAGAGTAGATATTCTTGATGTACACAGTTCAACTGATAACTAACCATAGGCTGGTACGACCACGCATGTTCGAGTACAGTCTTTGGAACCGGTCCATATAATCGCCGTCCGTTTTAGTGAGAGACACTACCATAAAACATCTAGGTCGACTGATTGGAACGCTCCTTGAAAATCTCCACTGAAGCTGATAGCCACTGTAGTATGGGTGATACAAAGGCCGACTTACATCAAAAGCTATCACGTTTGTTATATTCAGACAGTCACACTAGCAGGTAACTTTAACACTTGAGTGGGGAAGCTCAAGCAACCCATAAGGCACCTGAGGTCCTGGTTGGAGGTGCCCACGCTATCACATGCCAACAAACCGACAATGGTGAGCGTCTCCTACAATTTTGTTTCACTAACCGCTTGCTTTTTACCACCAGTAACTGTAGGAATATGGAGAAGTGAAAAAGATGAGGAAAAATGGCAGTTATGCGAAAAGAGAAAGCAACAATTGCGAAGTCAGGAAAGTAAGCATAAAAAGGAGGAAATTACTTCCCAGGCCATTGCGTCCTAGTGGGATCGCAGTCAGGGGTAGTGAGTGCAATTTTTAATGACAGGGGATTTCGATTTCATTTCAGTCATTTCCCAATAAACCACGAGATTCTGCAGACAATAGGGTCTACGAGATGGATGACTGAACCAACATGTCACATCCCCTACAAAGTAATAAGAACGAAAAGTGTTTGTTTGACTCTCCCGAATTTTCCCATAAGCATTCCAATACGTAACATCTAGATATGAGTTGCTCCACTGACCTCAACTGAGCGATGGACACAGATAGACCATGTTTCTGCCAGTCATCGCTGGAGAACGTCCGTGAACGACTGCCTCTCTTTCTGGAGCACGTGGTTAGATAGCGACCACGCGTTGGTTCGAGCGCTTATGTGTCTACGTCTCAATGGACGAAGAAAGACTTCAGCAATAAGATTATTGCGAGTGCAGCTCGACAATGAGAACATTAAGGCCGCTTTCAGTAAGAAACTGCCAAG